TCCATCTATTGATTTTTTTTATTTTGAATTTTGACACAGGAACACAATCACAAGCAGCTGGCCAAAGAGGATTTGGTGATGGTAATCCCGATCAGTTCAAATCAGGATAAACACATGGAGGAAAAGCAAATTTAGCCGATAAAGAGGACTTTCCAACGGAAACGATTGTGTTAGCTGTATTATTTAGTGGAATCTGGTTTCAATATTCTTGCATTGGTGCACCTTAACAAGACTAGCTTCCTGTGGAATCCACGCGTCTCTACAAGGCGATAACGTGCTTGTAGCTCAGTTTTGCTTATCAGTATATTGTAACCAGACAAACAGATAGGAGGATATCTTTCAGCCTTTGTCAAGGCCGGAAGCGTGACAAACTCCTGCTCCTTAATGTTATGGATCTTGTGTGTGTGTGTGTGTGTTTGCCAGCTACGAGGATGGCTTAGCCTATTTTGAACAACTTCACCAGCTTCTTTTCACGACTAGTGTTACCTCCGCATCTAAATGAGTTTTGAATGAGCAATTATAGGTGGAGTGGTGTCTTAACAACAAGCTCAATTTCTGTGTTATTGATCAACCCCGGGGCTGATAAACTCCAGATCTACTTGACTTGCACAGGAAACTGTTCTCTTGTTGAGGTTTCAGCACAATCGTGAACCGAAAATCTTTGGTCAAAAGGTGCCCTCCTCAACAAAAGGCAAGCCTTCGACAGTTTTCCCCTCCTTCAAGACGAGTTTTCGTTCAAAACGTAGAACATTAAGGTTGTTTCTCTAAATTACTTACTATCTCGTTGAAAATCTTTGCTGCAAATATGTGATTTTGACGCACTTTTTATCACAAAAAGTGAATTGCAGTAAACAATGTTTAAACATTTTTAGAATGTCTTTTTTATCACTGGGTCCATCGCCATTAAAAGTCCATCACATTGATACAGTGTTAGTGTAACTGCAATAGTCCATTCACTGATATGACGAAAGCTTTCGACAAGTAACTAGAATTGCATTCCACCAAACAGTACAGTTGAAATACGCTGTAACAATTCGATGAGTGCGGCAGCACAGTTGATCTCCCTTTGAACAAAAACACCTTCCTCTTAGAACGCAGAACTTCTTGACAACAAAATTTGTTCACGGTATGATAAATGATCGTAATTTTTTTGTCCAAACTGTGTCAATTCTCGAGTCTACAAATTCAAAATCTTAGGTAACCTGGATTAAAATTCCTTGAGTTTACAAGATTTGACTTTCCTTCTTTCAGAAATCAATTCCTTTTCAAGTGATTGACCGTTCAGATGATATGAAATCATTGGAAATCAAAATTGCCACCTTAAACTATTTAAGAAAAGCAATCTTTGGGGTTTAGGTCAAAGCCAAATTGGTAGGTAGTTAAAGGAGTGGCTTGCATGCACTTAGCGAAAATATTTTCAGAATTATTGTTAATCAGGATAATCCCTGAGAAATAACGGGAAAGAAGCGTTAGCGAATTAGGGATTATAAGAATATTGATGCGTTCTAAGCCGTTTTGAACCATCCTTAGTGAAGGTATAGAAGCTTAACTAAAGGAAGAAGGCAGCTTAAGGGAGTTAATTTATGAAGATACAGTGGTTTTCTAGAAGGTACCATTGAATGGGTGAAGATCGACTACTGACACACTATTTCCGTGCGTTTATCTTAACGTGTATTCTTTAAACTCCGACCAAAAAATTTGCCAAGAATTGCCCAAGCTGGTTAATAACATCCGCCAAAGGCTGCCGATGATAAAAGTGTGGATAGCACTTGACCTCGGCTATATTGCTAGCAGAGAAAATTGAAATTTTATTCTACAAGCAGCGTTGACTGTAGATAAACAGCCAAACGAGTATCTTATCAGAAACGCAATACGATAACAGACACAACTATCGACAGAGTGGTATTTCTTCTCGTTGTTGGAGGTTTCAAGGGGAAGTCTGATGAAAATCTGCAATTTGGGATAGATCATCCTCAACTGGTGAAGTTTACAGCGAGTACTCCCATCTGTCGGTGAACGTTTCAGCGATGAAATGTTTTTGACTGCAATTTAGGTATGTTCATCAGCCATATGTTGACTGAACTTTGACTCAAGGCACAGATTTTCCCTAAACTTAAAATCGCTGCAACCCTGTGCAGTTGGCCTCCGGATCAAGAGATAACTCTTGACTAGCTCTGTCTAATCTCTGTTGTGAAGAGTTCAACTTCTGTTTCACTCCTTCATTTCGATGACAAGTGATCCCCTACGAAAAACATAATATTGTAATTATATGCTGAAGGTTGACAAATTCAGGGACTTCGTACATCTTTTTTCTATTAGATTTAATAATATTCGTGCGGTAAGGTGATGGCTGCACACGAATGCCGCAAAGATTTCGATTGCAAAGTTGTCTTTTGACTCCCCATTCCTTCCTTACAATTTGAACAGCGTAATCCAATTCATTCAATAAGGAATCTCAGGAGCAGATTTCATAATTTGTAACCTATACACCGTGCTCTCTGCTTAGTGTAAAGTTTGCGATTTAGATCAAATGATAATTATACCACACAGCTGTCTGTCTTGCTGTTAATTCCTCGCAGGAAATAACATCACATCATTATTACATCCACTCCTAGTTTTTTCTGCAACAGCTACAATTCAATGAAGGCCATATCTCCAAAAGTAATTCAGTTTTTTGAGTTATTCGGGTAGGCATGTCGTTCAGTTTTTAAAATATAATATATTTAACATAGTGCGATAGAGGAACGTACTAAAGCATTCTTGCGCGAAGTGCCTCAGCTTTTTGAATTAGTAAAGTTGACTTATTCTCATTCTTTGAATAGCATCACCACCCGCCCTTCGGGAAACAATTCAAATTATATTAAGAAATTGTACACAAGCAGGGGCACAAGTAATGCGTTCCTGACACAAGGCATGATATAAAAATATCCCTAAGGTCTATTGAACTGACATGCCAATACTAGCAAGAAAATTGGTTATTACAGCAAACGAACTCCCCTATGAGAGAAACACGTAACATTAAGCTAAATGAATGCACGCATCTCATGAACTACTTTGCAATTTGCTTTCTTTATCAGCGAAAACTTGGGTTCTTAGCAGTAACAAAGGCATATTTACAATGTACAGATGATCAGATCCCAAGAGGATATGATCACAGCAAGAAAATACCAACATTAACACGCTTACACATAATCCCGAACAGAACCCTTGCTTGCTTCGATGGAGGTTGTCATGTAGAGATTTAATTTTCTGGGCGTCGTTTAATGACGTCAACGCTAGCAGGTGGCGTGAAACACCCTCTAATAAAAGGCCCAGATTGGCTGTTTACTTTATTTTTGAAATAAGACACTCACTCTCGAGAGAGCTGTGAAATTGCCATGTTTAATGGGCTAAGTTATCAGGGATTTCATCTAACCTCGTGTTAAGGAGACAGCTAAGAGAAAAAATAGCTTCGCTCGTCTTGATCACACGCTTTCAGCTTCTTGTGTTACCTCAAATTATACCACAGGCCACGATCTCGACACACGCCAGAGAATACCTGATTCTTTCTGTAGCCTCATTTCTCGATGCCTCAAAATGCCAATGTTGGGCAAATTAATTGCTCTTTATAAGTCCAGCTTTTTTTAAGATAAGTTTTGCATATCAAATTTTCAATCGCCACCAATTTTTGCCATCAGGTACTTAACATATTTGAGCGCGAGTCTTGTGTAATAAAGTTAAGAAACGAAGAAAATGGATAAAGTTTTTCCATAGCATCTTTTCTCTCTCAGTAAGCACGTAAACGCTACTGATCTCTGTGGCGAAGATAATAGCTTTGGGACACCTGGGTTTTAAGGTTCTCTTAATAGGCTTATTGTGTTTCAACTGTGATTTCAAGCGTGTTTCGCGGTGGCATTGAAAGATATAAATGACTTTTGAAAGGGTGTAACTTTTAGCACTAATGTGCGATTCCTTTTCAATGGTTCATTTAGGCTGAGCAGAACTTGCATTGTATTTGTTGACTTTCGATTCGAGGTTTTTAACAAACTTTTTGTCGCGAATTTTTTGGGAAGTTTGATCGTTGCATTCAAGGTTATTTTCGAGTTTCACATCGCTTCGTTTCTTTGCTATCATCACTTAACCGACAATTCAGAGCCTTTCAAGAGACTAACCTCAGCTGATCAGAAACGTTCAGCAAATTATTGATGGATTGAGGGTATCATGTTGTCGATCAGATTCACTAAGTTAGCATATCAAGCTCGCCAACATAGAGATATCAGAGTGGATTATAAGCGTATTCCTATTTCGCAGTGCGGTTAAGATTTGCTGCAATCACATTCAGAAAATTCGATCGGCTTAAATTTCCTGTACGACTCTACCTCACTAAAACCCAACCCATGGTATAATTTCTTGTTTGGGTTTTGAATTCGAATTCGATGCTCGGCACCTGTCTTCTCACTGGTCGAACAAAGCAATTTTGTGAATGTTGATTACAAAAATAAAAGCGAGGAATGTTGTAAAATGTCTGCTAATTAATTATCACTAATTGATAACACCCTCTATTGTCAGCCCAAGTCTACTGGGCGCCCAAGGGAGCTGTTCAATCCATTATCAAACGCACTCTTGTAAACCTCGTAAACGAACCAATCTAATAGCCAACGAGGACTTCTCTGCGTCGACCAACGAATCTTCCGGTGTGAATCCTCTTAGTGAAGCGCCGCGGCTGGTGTGAGAATCACCGCGTTTCGTGGCCCATTAAAAAAGGGAAAGTACTATGTAAACTCGAAGTATATGTTTTTTGTTATCAAGTGATACAGTACGGAAGCGAATTCTGTCGTCTCCTGTGACAGGCGAACCAAAGTGGGTCAACTTCTTGGCTTTGTCACTCAACCGCTTATCAAACGGAACATCTATTAATAAGTCAAACAGCCAATCACGAGGGTGCATCTAAATTGCGGTCATTAGTTGCTAATTTCAACATAACACAGTCCTTTCAGTTCGTACGCGCACTGGAGACGAGATATATAGCGGTGCACAGAGGCCAGCAGGGATAGATAGTATTCACAATCTGTAGCGAGAAGGTCGATAACGCAAACCGTCTGTCTGTAAACAGCGAAGGAGTCGTTGAAAATGCAACACTGCGAGTGGAATAGAAGTCTCAATGTTTTTCCTCCGTACAATTCATCGTCGTTCTACATTGATGACATTCTGAGCACGGGATCGCAGCGACCTCAAGCGTCTATCTGCACTTCAACAATGTGCGAGGTACCAAAACCACCCTGTCTCACCCCAGCGTTTCATCTGGCTCCGCCGCGAACTTACACCAACTTGAGCAGTCCATTCACGCCTTACCATTCCCCGAGGAGTTTCGGTTTCCACGCGCCGACAATACCCAGTGTCTACGAAGCGTACAACGATCACAGTAAGTACAGTGTTGATTGCCGAATTGTCCCGCGGTATCTAAAAAGGTAAACCTCTGCGGCTAGGTCGTATGCGTGGAGTGATCTATTTCGTTTACCAAGATATCAAAATTGCCGATTGACAAGATTGCATTCATAGCACTGTCGATAAAGTTGATTTCTCTGGCGCGTTTGCTCTTAGCAGGGGAAACATTGACAAGATTAGCGTTTTAGCTGGCGTCCCGGCTGGGGTTTCGATAACCACAGTTCTTTCTTTTGGCCGCGAAGTAAGTGATAAGAGCATTAGGTTATTAACTGATTCTTTTCGCTTTTCACTTGGTCTAAACCGTACTCTACCATTTCGCAGTTTACGCTGAAAGACGTTTAAATTTGTTGCCATCTATTCAGTGCTGAAAACTCGTGCACAGATGACAGCCGCATCGATTTGTATGAATTCCATATTATCTGTACTTCCTGAAGGCAACTTGTATTTGCCCCAAACTGAGAATTTATCGCATCTAAAATTCCTCGTCTTTTGATTACACCAGGAGCTTAGAGAAGTGAAAATTTGGGAGTAAATCTTAACGGAAATTACTAGCAGCATTCATTCGCACCCAACAGCGACCTCAAGTTAACCCGCAAAAATTTACTTACTTTCTTGCATCTCTAATCATTTCCGTCCGTTGTTCACTTTAAGGTGCCTGGAATCTGTTTCTACCGAAGCCGCAGAAAAAGAAGGGTGGCCAGGTTCGTTTCTCCAACGAGCAAACCATGGAACTGGAGAAGATTTTCGAGAATCAAAAGTACCTCTCGCCACCTGAGCGCAAACAGTTGTCTAAGGTCCTAGGGTTAACAGAGCGTCAAGTAAAAACATGGTTCCAAAACCGCAGAGCAAAATGGAGGCGCTTTAAGCAGGAATCACAGGGCGAGAAATCGGAAAGATTAGAAGCTGAAGAAACAAAGGCCATAGAGAAGACTTCTTCGTAAGTTTTGGGTGCTATTTGGGACTCGTACACACATTAACACATTCAATTCAGGATAGACAGTCCCCGTCTTCAAAGATGTCTGACGCAAAGTTCGATTTCTTTCGAACAATTAGCTAAACTAAATGTTTTGGAACAGAAACTTAAAAGAAGGTTGAAAACGCTGGTTTTACAGCGTTCTAAGATCAAACACTTTGTACCGTAAGCAACTGAACCGTTGAGGATTCAAGGTGACTCGCGCTGGACGTTGAGTGTGAGTTTACGTAATGGCAGAGTAAAAGACAATCACCATGCAAAATTTGGTTCGCGTTTATTTGGTCAACGCTCTCTACCTATTGGACTGTTCCTCCTTTCGTTACAAAAATATTTGATTTGAGTTAGAGAAGAAATTATATGTAAAGCAGTAGTGAGGCAAAGAATTGATTCTAAAGTCGGTTTGGTAAATGTAATCAGTAACAAAAGTATTTTAAACTAGTTCCCTGAATGATAGCAAATAACACGTTAAAGAAGAATCATCTGCCGAGCTTTTGCCAAGTAATCCACGAGCGATAGGAAATTGCCATACGCAAAACACGTTTTGTATATAAAAAGAAAGTTCTCGCAAATTCGGAGGTTTTTTTTTTTAGTAGTTTCTTTTGAATCCGGTAGCTTTTTCAATAGAAGAAATAGAGTGTAAAAAGAGGTAAACAATGAATTGAATAGCATGTAATAGATTTGATTTGCAATTAGTCAGTTTTACTAAGAATAAACTCACTGAAACGACAATGTCGTGTGTTTAATGAAGGCTTGTTCTTTTACTCAATAACTTAGCTAGAGATTAAATAACAACCGTACAAAGGGCGGAATTTTCCCGCAAAAAATTCATTGTGCGTTTATTTTAACAGCTGAGGGTATGTTCTTGGTACGCGAAGCGGATTCTTCGGATACTTAGAAAGCAATTTTAAGAGTTTCATGACATGGTATAATTGCTAGCTTTGATATTTGACATTTCCTATGATAAGATTGACACAGTCTTTTAGCGAATTGCGCTCTCATTCCTATTATTGGTGGTTTAATTGCTCTATCGACAGGATGTGTGTTTCTGAACAATTTCTTCCTCTCTGTACGAGAAGACCAACGCTATTCCTTTGGCTACTGATAACAAGAGAGTGCTATAAAGCCATTTTCCCCAATCTTTTGACCCAAAACTTTTTTTCAGATCTGCAGCGATGTCGGTGAACATAGCGATTTTCCCGACCATTAACGATTCCTAATTGGTACTGTGTCAGAGGATAGAAAATTATTTGTTTATATTATGGCGACAAGGAGCTCTCGCCTTTGCGATAAAGTGGATTCAATCTATAAATGCTATCTGATGCCTTTCCTCGCCTTTAGTGAAATGTTCCCGTTCTCCACGATCTACACGCTTTTTACGCGATGCTTTTAAAAAAACACCAAGTGAATTGTTTTCATACGCTACGACTGCACGTATGAAATTAATTGAAGAAGCTTTCTTTTTCAATACAAAGGTGTGAAATCCGATGTGATAAAATAATTACCATGGGCTGTACTGTTTGTAAAAGAGACAAAGCCTGTTTTAGAGTTCGATTGCGAAAACCCATTGAGTTCCTTTATGTTCGACGAGGTCGCTTTTTCCCTAATTGAGGAGGGTTTCGATTCTATTGTAATCAGTACTGAATTAGTTATCAATTCGCTGCTTTGCCCACCCTGTATTCACAACAATGGACCTAAAAGACTATTAAACATATCACTTCTATTGTAAACGATTCTGCGATGTCCTCTGTTTGTTCTCTTAGCACGTTTGCGAAACTAAGGAGAAGTACTCCCAAAAAGGTTTCATTCGGAAAGGGTCTGGCTATGAAAATTATACTTAAAGAATTATTTTTACAGCGACGCGACAAAGTTGGTTGCGTGTGTGGCCTTGCCATTTTGCGAGCCGTATAGATAACCCTTGTCACACTTTTCATTCACTGCTTGTAATCCTGATTGAAAATAACGCTAATCAAGATGTACGTTTAAGCCATTAGGCTCTCTCAGAGTCTGTAACTTAACACTAGAGCGTGTTTTCTCGTAATAAAGGACACAAATGCAGATTGTCCACAGATTAACTTGTATCTAATTCGTGTTTGTAGATTGTTTTCAGCCGGGAAGTTTTAGGTCTTCATTGTGCATTAAAAGATTTGACGCGTGAGTATTCTCGCCTTTTTTGATCGATTTTCCGGTGTTTTGACGCATTGTATTTTTTCGCCAATTAAACGCCATCTGTTTCCTATACCGAGCCGAAATAAACTAGCATCAAACAAAGCTAGAATACACAGAAGTTTGGCGTGTGTCTTCTTTAAAAGTACCCAACTACTCTTCTTTCTTAGAATTCATTATGTGCCCCCATTAGGCAAGTTTATATGCTTCGAATAAAACCTATAGCTTATTATTCGAAGCGTCTTTTCTTTCAACGAAAACTTTGGATAGCGAGATTTTACGATTTTAATACACGCTAAGTTCAATATGAGTTTATTTTTAAGAATACAACGATTAAGGGTAACAAAAAATTATCTCACTCACTTTTGTTCGCATACATACCTAGCCTTGTTTGACTAAGGAATTACTTCATGGGCGGAAAACACTATCGAGTATATTCAGTATTAATGGTGCTTCAAAGGAAGGGTAGAATTAAAAGCCAGTTAGGATAATTATTGTCTAAAAACCTAATTAAGAAGCTTTTTTTGTCTAACAGAAGCAAGGAAAGTGTATGTTTCACTCCTAAGTTTCATTTGATACTCAACTTTAAATGGCTTTTCAAGTTCCTCAAACTAATTTAGAAAATCAATCAAAAAAAATTTCGTAAATGGTTTGACCAAATGCAGAGCCACTTTAGCCATTAAGTCATATTTAAAGCTAATTCAAAGGAATTTAAGCGAGCGTGTTCTTAAAATGATCAATTTTTGTGATAAACACGAGCTTATCTCCGTCGTAAAAGAATAGAACGAATTTTAGATAATATTCATTAAATGGATGGTATGATTTTAATCTTTCTCCAGCCTTAACAAATCATTCCTTCGATATTTTGTTGTGAAATACCTAATTTAAATTATCACGATTTTGTTAGAAAAATATCATACTGTTTTAAGCAGTTTCCCGCCTTGAAGGTAATCAAAGGAAAAATGAGTTTTCCCGCCTCTATAAAAGCTATTAAAAATCTTTTTTTGCAGACTTACAGAACGCTGATTCGAATCGATAGGCAGACCTCAAACACGCCAATATTACTAAAACAGCAAATTGCCGAAATAGGCCACTAACATTAATCGCTTCCTTTTGCTCGCCAAACGCATATCGAAAGCTCCTGATAACACTGTATTACGCACGAAAGTCGTTTATCCGAATAAGCGAGGCGATTTCTAGCAGTTAACCCTAATTCATTTTTTTGGATTGCATCATTCATGATGCCCCACGTTTTTATGTCCCGTAATTGTGCGAGGAACTGTACATTTTGAGTTGAGGAATTCAACTAAGTTAGCGTTGTAAAATGGACGGAACAGAACGCCTTTACGTCTGTGCTCATCAACGCAGTCATTGGGAGTTGAAAGGAACTTACTTTGCCACTCAAGGGCGGAAGATTTGTCTTTTAAACGAAGCTAAGCTGCTTTTTTCTTCAGCAGAGTAACTATCTAGAAGACAGGCATCAATTTTAAAGGTTTTTTAAATAGCGTAGGAAAAGAAACTTTCCTCAAAACCATTTACAATACTTTCTACGCAATTTAATAAGGAAAATGGTTCATTAAATCTGTTCCTCTTTATAAGTCTTGTATCGACTTACAAAGTTATTCTTATTGTAGAATTACATATATAATGTTTTCCAACAGCTTTCAATCCCTTGTCTCTCTGTTTGATTTAGTTACAGTAAATTGAAACAGTTCCCGCAAATCGACTGCACAGAACACTGAATGAAGCCATTACGAAAGAGGGTCTTCTCAAGACCACATCGACCATATCCTATTAAACTAAGGCGCTTTAACTTTAGCTCTCTGAAATGCGGTGAAGACAATTTACTACTAATTATAGTGTATGGTTAAAGATGGTTGGCCATAACAAAAAGAAGTCAATATCCACATTAGGTAACTGCTGTCAGCTAGCATCGACACTTAAAAAGCTGAAACAGAGAACGAAAAGTTAATGTAGTACATATTCCATTTACTGCACGGCTATTATCTAAATTTTTTCGTATAAAAGTAGTTACAATTGTGCTATACGCAATGTAAGGATTATTTCCTACCACAGTTTTAGATATCATAGCATGAACTTGGAATGGGAGACTAAAGCAAGAGGCGACAACCTTTGACATAGTCAGTCTAGTGATCAGAGTATTTTTAAAATGAAGTGGTTAAGTCTAATTCAGTGGTTTTTTTGGTTTCTGATAAAACCGCAAAGCTTTTATCAATTGTGCCTCCTAAATGATGAAAAAGGCAGCATATAAAAATTCCAAACTTATGTTTCTATGAATCGGAACAAAATACAATATTATGTCAATTTGACCGACTCTATTCATGGCATAAAAAACCGCACTATATTTATAGAATTTCGAATTAAAATCCATTTAATTCATCTGTGTTCAGTAATTGTTGCGTTTTGGTAGCATTGTTTCAAACAATCTGTCGTAAGTGAAGAATATAACACACCGCCATTCCCATATTCCTCCGTTTTAAGGATTTGTATTATATCTGTAAATTAATTCAATCAAGATGATCTTTTCCCCATTTCAGATGAGGGGCAAAACACCATTAACATCACCAACTTTCGCTGAATGATGTTCACGTTCATTAGAATTGAGCTTCATGAAATCAGGATTGGCAAAATGTAACTTGCTTTCAGCGCAAGAAACCGGCGAGACATCTTCTCGTCAATTTAGCACAAAATTAAGCCAATTGATTAAAAACAAGATACGTAGGTCACTCGACGTGTGGCTGCCATGAATAACGTGGCTGCCATGAATTAAGATACAATCAGTACAAAAAGGGAATGAAGGAAGCTTCGTGCAAAATTCAGTTTAGAATTTTGGACCTTACCCTCTAGTTGCTCGTACTAAACCATCGATTTTGTACATGATTACAGAACAGACATAAATCTAAATTCCTAATCACGAGCAATTCAAATACATCAGACCATTGAATGAACAACGCTGATTCCCACTCTTTGACCAGAAAGTCTCGAACCAAGTAACACTTGTATAAAAGATTCAGTATTCTGTTGCATTTCAATTTTGAGAGAAAACGCATCGTAATGTTCTACTTTAATGTGTCCCACTTAAAGAGTATTCACATTGTTCCCTTGGAAGTATTCACGTTCATTTCTTTGTAAAATTCTAATGATCAAAACATAGTGGCTTCGAATACATGCTCATAACATATTGCGTGCAAAAGGCAGCCGTAAAGTCCTTGACCTAGGTACACACAGTGACTCTAAAATGAAGACCGCTTATGTATGCTTGATCTCACTTGCAACAAAGTAACTGATAAACAAGTGTTTCTCCTTTAATTGATGGCTAAACTTTTCTCCTTCGCTGAAATGTTGGAAAATATGTCTGCTCGAGCTCTTTCATGCTTCATACCTTTAGACACACCCAGCAGAGGAAGCAAAAATTGCATTCGTCATTCCAAACCCTTCCCTGTGAAACTTTCCTGAAAAGCGAAGCATTCACGACAATCCACTGGCTGACACTGATTTAATCACACGCCCACTAAATCATCCAAAATGCCTATTCTATGCGTTAG